GCCTGCCATAGGTGGAAGGAATGGCGTATTTGCCAGCTACCTCTTGAACGTAGCCTTTTTTATTTTTATTTTTTCCAAAGTAGTACTACTGTGGAAATGGATAAGGAGTTGAAATGGATTCTTTTTTTTTTTTTTTTTTTTTTTGAGATGGAGTCTTACTCTTTTTGTCCAGGCTGGAGTACAGTGGCACGATCTCGGCTTTCTGCAACCTCCGCCTCCCGGGTTCAAGCGATTCTCCTGCCTCAAGTAGCTGCTAGGTTTGAGACCACCAACCTGATTACAGGCACCCGCCACCAGGCCCGGCTAATTTTTGTATTTGTAGTAGAGACAGGGTTTCACCATGTTGGCCAGGCTGGTCTCGAACTCCTGACCTCAGTTGATCCAGCCTGCCTCTGCCTCCCAAAGTGCTGGGATTACAGGCATGAGCCAGCACGCCCAGCCTGTGTCTGTTCTTTAAAGATAGCTTAAACCCTAATTTTCCTGTCTGGGTTAGTTTTTTTCTATTATTATTGCGTATATTTTAAGTGACCTCCTACTAATGTTGGCTGTTTTTACCTGTTTCAAAAACTTGAGCTTTTGAAGTATGGGATGACCTAATCAAGCAAATAGGGGATAATAGCATTTTATGGCATTATTACCTTTTCTCTTTTTTTTCTTCTGCACCTTTGCACCAGATATTCTTTTAAAGCAAGACAAGTCTTTGCTACTGCATCTCAGGAAAGAGGTGGCATATACATAGTTTATTGATGGTTGCTCATTATAGGCTGGTGCTTTGCATTGGGGCAAGAAGTTGTGCTTCCAGGGTCTTTTATATAGTGAGGAGCAGGGAAGAAAGAAATCTTTACTATTGGCTAGGCATGATGGCATGTGCCTGTAGTCCCAGCTACTTGGGAAGCTGAGGCAGGAGAATCGCTTGAACCCGGGAGGCTGGGGTTGCACTGAGCAGAGATCACACCGCTGCACTCCAGCCTGGGCGACAGAGCGAGACTCTGTCTCTCAAAAAAAAAAAAAAAAAAATCTTTAGTATTATAAGTCTAGTACACAATCATGGTGAAAAGTTAAAATCATATTAAAGGTCATGAAGAGAAGGAAAAGTTCCCAACTCAGTCTGTCTTGGAACCCTTTGGTCACATTTCTCAGAGATAACCACTATGAACATTTATGTTCTTGCAAAAATGTTCTGTGAATATACAATCTATTGCTGTAGGTATTTTCTCTCCTCCTGTTATATATAAATGGCTTTGTATTTTGGGTTTTTTCCCTGCAGTTTGCCTGTTTTTCTCTCCTAATATGTCTTGGGCATCTTTCCACATCTGAGCATTTAGATGTAACAGAAAAGAATTCTGAGTAGATGGAAATAGGGATAAAAGCTCAAGATTGGAGACCATGGTGACTGACTGCCTTTTTTGTTTGGTTGTGATTTCATTTACTCCCATGTCAAGGGAAGTTAAAAAAATACATTCCAAGTACAAATGATAGGAATGTTTTGTCATAGCTGCTCTTATTCAGTTGCTGACTCTTAATTGAGTCAGCAATTACAGAGTCCTGGAAGGGGTTTAATAGATTGTCTTAGAGCTCATAAGCAGTGATTGGATTATTTATAAATTGGCAAATGAGAGCTGCTTGTGATTCATTCAGAACCACTCAAATTTATAAATTCCTTAAAGTCTTGAAAAATGCTTTTTTGATTTTTAAATCTGAGTTCAAAAATAACTTATAAAGAATTTACAGTGAACTTATGTATTATAGTACATGGGCTTTATGAGTAATGCTCCTAAGAGTAAATATTATAGTTATTTATTATCTGTGTCGTTTTCCATAAATTTTTCCTTTTTGGAGGAGGTGGCTATTTATTGCTAATGTAAACTTGTCATCTGAATATTTGTAAGTTTTACCCTCTTTCCAGAGGTTCTGTGTTAGCTTGGGCCAGCATTTTCCTTAAATAAGTGATGTATGACGTTTATAAAGAGCACTTTTTTTTTGCTTGAGATATTTAGGACAAGATTAAAACATTAATGCTTACGATTTAAGCTATTTGTCAGTTAAATCTATGGACTTTTTTTTGACTGGATATAACCCTTTAGTTAATTGAGAATCTGGGTTTGAGTTATAGTCATAGTGTTTTTTTAGATTCTGTGAGCATATGAATAGATAATGTTGCCATTTCAAAACTTCATATTTAGGGCGATTAACGTTTACTTTAAAAACTGAGGTAAGAAACCAGCTGGGTTTCCTTCACATTCATTTAGGGACAGGTGACAGATTTTATTGTTAAGTTATAGGTCATTATATTTGGGTATTTAGACTGTATATTCCATAGAAGAACAAAAAGTGACCTATTAAGAATGTAATGGTATCTTTTTGGGGGAGTGTTCTATGATCAGTAATTTAGGAATCAATTTTATTAGGTACCTAGTGTTTAAAAATAATTTGAACTATGTGAACTTAAATAGAAAGGAGTGGCAGGGTCGCGGTGTCCACACCTGTAATCCCAGCACTTTGGGAGGCCGAGGTGGGGGCGGATCATGAGGTCAGGAGATTGACCATCCTGGCTAACATGGTGAAACCCGTCCCCTACTAAAAATACAAAAAAAAAAAAAAAAAAAAAATATAGCCAAGGTGTGTTGCCAGGGTGCCTGTAGTCCCAGTTACTCCCGGAGGCTGAGGCAGGAACCTGGCATGAACCTGGAGGCCGAGCTTGAAGTGAGCCACTGCACTTCAGCCTAGGTGACAGAGCGAACTCTGTCTCAAAAAAAAAAAAAAAAAAAGAAAACGAAAACAAACAAAAAACAGGAGTAGCTCATGAAATACTTAGTTTTACATAAGACCACCTGGTTTCTGAAAATACATTCTTTAGTATCTTTAGGTATTTGATTTTAGCTATTTGACAGAATGAAAGAGCATCAATAAATTTAAAAATGAATACAGTAGAAGTTATTCCAGTTAAAGGTCAATTAGATATTAAAGTAAAAGCATCTCAAATTCAGTAAAGTGGATTTGAACGTAAGGTAACAGTACGGGAACTAAGGCATTCATCCAGTAGATTATTTTAATACATAGTATTGCATTGGGTGATATATAAAAGTATGTAGAGGTCTTTAATTGAGTACCTTCTAGAACTTTATGAGTGAAATAAATAAAAATGGAAACAGTAGATAAAATTGTTACTTTGAGAGAGAAACCAGTCTTTCTGCATATGTGCCATAAGACAGTTAAACTCACTAGGGTGTAATCCTTATTATAGCTATAGAGTTTATGGCCTGATAAATGAGCCCTGTTCCACCACAGAAAGTAATTCTAGTAACTGGACAGTTTGTTTTCCTCAAATCAGTCCTTGTTTCCCAGGAATAGCACTGAATAAACATCTTCAAATTCTTAATTATCTTGTTCTTTTTTTTTTTTTTCTTTTTTCGAGACAGTCTTGCTATATTGCCCAGGCTGGAGTGCAGTGGTATGATCTCGACCTCACTGCAACCTCTGCTTCCCGGGTTCAAGTGATTCTCCTGCCTCAGCCTCTTGAGCAGCTGGGACAACAGGCATTCACCACCAAAACCTGGCTAACTTTTTGTGTTTTTAGTAGAGACAGGGTTTCACCATGTTGCTAGGCTGGTCTTGAGCTCCTGGCCTCAAGTGATATGCCCGCCTCGGCCTCCCCAAGTGCCTGGATTACAGGTGTGAGCCACTGTGCCCAACCCTCTTATTCTTTTGTAAAAGTCCTTCTCTCCTTGTCCATGAGGTTCTCATTCTTTCTTAGAATCATCACATCAGTCAAGACCACGCCCAGGTCACTGAACTTGTTCACTCAAATTCCAGAGCCACCCTAGGGATGGGTTCCCTCAGATAGTCGCTCCTCTCAATCTATTGCGTGCAAATTTTTCCCAGTTTCAATCAAGAGGAATATGAATTTCAAGGTTTTCAGGTGCCTTGCTGTCTCGTGTGCATGTGAGCAGTAATCTGGTGACTTTTATAGCACTTACTGCACTGAAGCCACTTGTCTGGTTATTTGATGTTTCCTCCAAGTAGACCATGTGCTCCTGCAGCGCAGACATTCTATATCTTGTTCATCATATCTCTGACATCTACCTTGATAAAATTTTCCTCAAATTAATATGTTAGCTAATGTACTGCATTTTAACCCATATGACAGAAGGGATCCAAGGAGAGAGTGATCCGCATGTAATCTGAATAGGGGTTTGGGCCAGTGGGTAAAGCATGAGTTTGCATTTCCCGAGGAGATAGATGGTTCTCCAGCAGCTGCCACAGATGCTCAGTTGTCTTGGTGCATCTCTTCATGCAGTGAGTGGAGTAGAGACACCAGAGGATTGTTGAGTAACTGGTCCAGCCAGGGTCTTTGGCCAGTGGCCTTTCCAGGCAGTGTTCTGTTTTTAATCTATCTTCCTAGGTAGTCTTCCTCTTTTTGGTCAGACTCCCAAATGCCCACTAACTAGCACTTTTGTCTCTGTAGCTATTATGTTTCTCATGGCAAGTGGACACTCCAGGCTCCGAAAAACTGGATAACTTTGCATCAGTTTTGAGGAAATGTAGACACAATGTCAGGGTGAGCCGTGTCGACTGGATCCAGAGTTCTGAGGGCATCTGTTGTAGCCACCCTGAGAGGCCTTGTTTCTGACCAGGCTGAGTTGGGTTCAATCTCTGTTCTCTACTTCAAGGTCTCATTGCAGTGCTCTCTGTACCTACCATCATGGTCCCCCTTCTCTGTTACGTCTTTATTTTTTTTGAAACGGAGTTTCACTCTTGTCGCCCAGGCTGGAGTGCAGTGGCGCAAGCCCAGCTCACTGCAACCTCCTCCTCCTCGGTTCAGGTGATTCTCCTACCTCAGCCTCCTGAGTAGCTGGGACTACAGATGCCATGCACCACCACGCCTGGCTAATTTTTGTGGTTTTTTTTTCAGCAGAGACGAGGTTTTTCCATGTTGGCCAGGCTTGTCTCGAACTCCTGACCTCAGATAATACTCCTGCCTCAGCCTCCCAAAGTGCTGGGATTACAGGCAGGAGCCACTGCGCCTGGCCCTCTGTTCTGTGTTTATTTCATATTTGAGTTGAGAGAATCTGTGTTCTCCAGAAATTGCTGTAGTCTTTAGAGACACACACGAAACATTTAAGTCATGATGCAAGGCTTTAGTTGATTGAATACTGACAAAGACTCCTTTGACCAAAACTTTAGTCACGCTCCTCTGGTCCTCCACGTGAGTGGGCACTACCATGGCCTTCTCTTTGTATTATTGTTGGATCCAGTTGAAGCAAAAATCCTGTTAAAATCAGTTTAGAGAAAATTCTTCACCTGGGTATCTGACCGCTCTGTCCTATCTTATCCTGGCCTGTCTTCAAGAATAGTCCTAACAAATTAGTTTAGCCATAAACCCCTTATCCTTGATATTTCTGTTTAATAATCTTCTATCCACTGGCCCCACCCTGCTCTTTGGTTATAGATCTCCACCTCTGTTGGGATCTGAGTTGTGTTCAGTCTCCGTCCCCCACTGCAGGATCCCACTGCAGTGTTCCCTGTACCTACCACCATGGTCCCCCTCGAGTAAAATCTGCTTTACCATTTCTAACAAGTGTCATGAGTAATTTTTTTCAATGATACTATTAAGGTAACAGTGCATTGAAAAGCAAAGTGAAAAAGTTCTAAAAGAGGAAGAAAGTTGAACTGAGCAGTACAGAATATAAGTGTTTGGAGTTGGAGTGGTTAGTGACTTTGAGCTGAGCCCCAGAAAAGAGGTGGGATTAGGATAGGTAGGGAGCAAGAAGCAACAGGAGCAGCATTAGCAGAGAATGAGAACTGAAAGAAAGTGGAGTGTTCAGGGAAGAGGCCTGGCCCAACCAGTGCAAGCTCTGGGTCTTGGGGCTTGCTAGAACAGATGCCTGAGTAAAGCTGTGAGAAGTCAGAAAACTTCATTTTTGGCTGGACAGTTTGGACTTAGACCTATTTGTAATGTGGAATGGAGGGAGAGATCTGCATATAGTAGTTTGATGAGGTTACCTTATGGGGTGTAATTAATTTGTTATAGTATTAATTGGAAGTGGGAAGAAATCATAGTTTGGAGAATAGGTGTTTAAAGCTTTCTATGTACAAGTAGTTGAAGGACAAACCCACGGGGCATACAGGGACTTCAAAGAGTCATAGTGTTATGAATCAGTAAACCTTGGCAATTGGCTATAAGGTGAGAATGGATGTGTATAAAGATGCTACCCAGAGTAATATGCTGTGTTACACATGTGTTGGTAAGTACGGTGCTCTGCCCCAAACATGCTCCTTTTTCTCGCTACCTCGTCTTTGTTCTTCAGGACTCAGCTCAGTCTTATCAGCCTTCTCTGACTTTTATCCACCTCCTGTATTCCTGTAGAACTCTGTATTTACCACTGTCAGGCACAAACAATATTGAATTTCTGTTGCTTGCCTGTCTCCTCAAGTAGGCCAGAAGCTCTATGAGGTCAGGGATAGTAATTTTCATCCAGCACCTCCTAATATATGAGATACTCAAATGTTTGTCGGCTGCATTATGTGCCATTATATCTTCTTGCTACTTTGGGGTGTTGTGAATAGCCATTTTAATTGGTTATTACTTACCTTACTACCGTCTAGATAGTAATTAGCCATTGCCCTAAGAGTCAGCAAAGGTGATGATGCAGATGCTGGCTTTTATTGGGGCAGGTGTTTGCAGCATACAACCACTGTATTGTGTAGCTTAAAGATAGTAACATATATTTTGATTTTCTGATACAGTAAGTAATCCTGGGTGAGATAAATCAGCTTGATGTCAAGGTTTAAGTACTTTAGAGCCACAGAGGAGGAAATTCTGCCGAGCACTAACCCCCATTACTGTGCCAAGTTCCCTGGAGAAGCAAATACAGTACTCTCAAACCCTCATTACTCAAGATCTTCAGGGTGGATGAAAATGGATTTCATTAGAAAGAAAATACTATTTTTACTCTTCTTTTACTTGAATAATTTTCCTTAAGAGAGTATTTATGTGTGTTTAGGTGCATCATTGTATTTTGGCCAATGCTCGCGTTCTTTATTTAGTGACTGTTGAAGTGCTTCCTCAGGGAGTTGTGTTTGAAAGCTGGAAAGTAAGTATTTTGATTCAAAAAGATTTTTAAAACTACTCTATTAGGTAAATCTAATTTTTTATTTTTTTTGTAGAGATAGGGGTCTCCCTATGTTGCCCAGTCTGGTCCTAGGTTCAAGTATAGTCCTCCTGCCCTGGTGTCCCAAAGTGGTAGGATTACAGGTGTGAGCCACCACGACCAGCCTAGTACCAATTTTTTTTTAGCACTCTTTTGTAATGTTGGCTTTGGGGAGCTGAAGCTGTTAGGAGTGAGTGGTCCTCTGCCTTTCCCTTTTCCCTTTTACCTCTTGCTGGATCCTGAGGGGACCCGGGGTGCATTCTCTAGAAGGTTGGAGAGCTTAGCTGTCTGCAGTTGGTGTTTTTGACACACACAGGGCAGAGAAAACAGTCGAATAGGGAGTGGACCACACATGTTTCTTGGTTATGGAACCTGAGGGCTGGAGTGAGCTTGCCCCAGGCCAAGTTGCAGATTGCCTGGCTGTGGGTGAGTGGGGCTCTTGGAAAAGGGATGGGAGTGGGTTTTAGGACTTGACTATGCCTACAGCATGAAACCCCAGCTTCCAAAGCATGTCCATAATACAGCTCTTGACCCATATTGATCAGGACTCATGTTCAGGCTTTCTCTTGGTACATCGTTTTAATGGCTTTTGAAGAATCAATTGATAAACAAAAAACCCATAGACTTTAACTGGGTGAGTTTCTCAGGAAGGAAATATAAAATATTGCAGTTATAGATTAGGGACCTAAATATTTGAGTGAATTGTGTAGATCCACTTTTTAAGTGTAGTATAGGAAAAACTTTTCATCTACTCTTTTAGGTTCAGTTCACGCGAGTCTGAATTAAATGACAAAAGACATTACAGGAGAAAAGGCAAGCAAACTTCATGATGTTGATATTTTTATGTGCCACGTAGGGGTAAAGGGAAGGAGACTTCACCGAAGAGAAAAAACCCAAAAAGAGTTAGACCTGAAGGCTTATATACAATTTTAACAAAGGGTGATAAACTGTGAAATGACCTGTCAAAGGAAAAGGGAGTTTAGGGTTTTTTGACTGCTCTTTTATAGGCCCTTTTAGAGTGGAGTTTTAGTTTTTTAAAATTGCTTTCTTATTCAGTCACAGTGGTTCTCTACATTTTTCTTTCTTTTTTTTTTTTTTGAGAGGGAATCTCACTCTGTCCCATAGCCTGGAGTGCAGTGGTGTGATCTCCACTTATTGCAACCTCCGCCTCCTGGGTTTAAGCGATTCTCTTGCTTCAGCCTCCTGAGTAGCTGGGATTACAGATGTGCGCCACCATGCACGGCTAATTTTTGTATTTTTAGTAGAGACGGGGTTTCACCATGTTAGCCAGGGATGGTCTCGATCTCCTGACCTCGTGATCCACCCGCCTCGGCCTCCCAAAGTGCTGGGATTACAGGCTTGAGCCACCGCGCCCGGCCTAATTTTTGCATTTTTAATACAGACGGGGTTTCACCATATTGGTCAGGCTGGTCTCGATCTCCTGACCTCGTGATCCACCCGCCTCGGCCTCCCAAAGTGCTGGGATTACAGGCTTGAGCCACCGCGCCCGGCCTAATTTTTGTATTTTTAGTAGAGACGGGGTTTCACCATATTGGTCAGGCTGGTCTCCAACTCCTGAACTTGTGATCCGCCCGCCTCGGCCTCCCAAAGTGCAGGGATTACAGGTGTGAGCCACTGCGCCCGGCCCGGTTTTCCACATTTTTTTCTCCACACCATTCCTATGTGCCACACTTCTGTTGTTGTTGTTGTTGTGTGTATGTGTGTTGAGACAGGGTCTCTGTTGCCCAGGCTGGAGTGCAGTGGTGTGATCTCAGCTCACTGCAACCTCCGCCTCCTGAGTTCAAGTGATTCTCCTGCCTCAGCATCCTGAGTAGCTGGGATTACAGGCACCCGCCACCATACCTGGCTAATTTTTGTATTTTTAGTAGAGATGGGGTTTCACAGTGTTGGCCAGGCTAGTCTCGAACTCCTGACCTCAAGTGATCCTCCTGCCTTTGCCTCCCAAAGTGCTGGGATTACAGGGGTGAGCCACCACGCCTGGCCACATTTGCATTGTTAACACCACATCACACATATTGTGATTCCCAATGAGGAGGAGGTTAGGATGTACTTTTCTGAGAGGGTGGATGCGTAGGTAGGTGATGGACTACCATACTTTTTCTGGCTTGAAAAAGTTCCCTTTCCTCTTTCGGATTCATTGAACTGACAGACCAGTGCCCTAAAGATGTCAGATTGATCAGTAATTTTAATTCGGAAAAGCTTTTTGTATTTGTTTAGAGAGCTGCCCTGTGTGAATGTAACCGTGAGATCATCTGTATATGTTCATTGACTGGCCATTCTGTCTCAGTCCACTGCCTTCTTACCTAAATGCAGCCTTTCTCATACTTGAGGGTAGTGCTAGAATTCTGTTATCATCAGCTACCTGGGAGGAGTTGGCCAGGTGCGCTGGGTCTTTGTACAAACTGACTTCTTATTTTGGCTGGATTTGGTTGTATTTGTCCTGAAGGGAGTTGAGGTGAAGTGGAGGGGAAATAGTATTGGATTTGGAATTAGGAGCTCCATTCCCACAACATGACCTTGGGGAAGTTGCTGCTTAACCTTTCTTGGCTTTGGTTTCTTAATGTGAAAGGGAGGGGTCTGGATCAAAATTGTATAATGTCTGTGGTTCCTTCCTGTTCCATCTGTGGGGTTGGAGATGGCTGGAGGAGAAATTTGCATTCCTATTACCCCATTTGTTTTGTTTCTTTCGGCTTTTAGGGTTATTTTAGTATAATTTGCCCGAGAAGCATAATCATGCCCAGTGCAGTGTAAATATTCACACATCCAGGCACAACCCCACCCCCAACATGTACGCATAAAATATGAATCTGTCTGTAGTGAAGAAGCACAGTACAGTGTTCATTGCTGTGGATTTTTTTCTGCAGTGCTTGCTGCCAGTCAGCTAAATACTCCTGGAGTAGTTATAGTAATAATGTCACAGGAATATAGAAAGAAACCTGGCACCTTTGGGAGACCTACTGATACGTGACTTCTCCACCCTTCCCCCTCCTTTTTTAACCTGGTCTGTTAATGATTGTACCTAATTATGTATCTTTGGTCTTTTTACTGTTTACAATTCAAATGCTACTTAAAGCCTTTTGTTTGCTTTTGTTTGCTGTGAATCCTGGGCTGCCATCTGAAGCACAACTTGATGATTGTGTATTATCATCTTGGGTTAAGTGCTGTCTCATTGCTTTGCAGGCTGCCTGCTGTTTCCCGGGGAGATCATGAAACGAGGTCGCCTTCCCAGCAGCAGTGAGGATTCTGACGACAATGGCAGTAAGTCCTGCTTTGTTGTTCTTGGAGCCTACCAGGGTTTGGGTCAGGGTGAAAACATGATTTTTTAATGTAATGCTTTAAATAGCCGAGGCCCTTTGCATATCAGGCAGGTCAGAGAAAGCCAAAGCCTGGAGAAACATACCTGAGTGTGATACTGCAGGTCTGTAACCAGATCTTGCTGGGTAAGGTTGATTGCAAGCAAGCATTCCTGAGGCTTCCTATTTGTTATCCTGGGAGGAATAATCCAGTTCTAAGGGTCACTGGTGTGTCTGGTTTTCCTAAACATCATTTATGGTACTTCGCAGTTGTGCTTTGTGAAAGGGGAACTTAATCAAAGCCAGGTAATCATTAACTGGTTCAACTCAATACAAGGGGAGGTTGAAGACTGCCTAGTGTGATGTGAAAATTATTAAGTACAGGTTCTTAATAGGTCGAAAGTCCCTGCTCTTCACTTGGTTTTAATGTGACTGTATTTAATACTACTACTGTCTGTATCTCAGCTCTCTGGCAACTTCATATTTTCACAGTGCAGCTGAGAACCAGAAGTTAGTTGGCTTCCAGGCAGTCAAAATAAATATCACACAGTGTCTGTGTATTGAGAAGCTAACAGACTACTCAGAGAAGAGCTCCTCTCAGATAACAGGGAAATTTTGTACCTAGCACAGTGCCTGAGCTCTAGCCTGTTAGCTTCTGTTTTACATTACAGATTAAACCCAGTATGCCTTGAAAGAATGCTTGTGTGATGGGAAAGGAGCTGGGCCTGCTTTCAAGGAACTGTGCTTTAGACATATATAAGAACAGCTCTGATGGGAAAGTCATCAGGGCAGTAATAGAGATGTCTTTTTGATGCACTGTGGAAACAGATGCAGATACAGATTCAGAGGAGGGGAGGGCAGGGAATCCTGTAGAGGAGATGAAGGTTGTATGGATCCTTAAGGGTGAAATACTTTTTAGGCAAATAGGGTTATTTTCAGTTTTCTGTGCTCCAAGTTTTCATTAAATTAAAAGCTGCACATTAGAAAGCAAGGCTTTGCTTTCTAGGTGCGACCCTGTTCAGAAGAGGGGACCAGGAACGTGAGAAACAGAACTCAGAGTGGTATTTCAGTTGGTGTGCTTGGCACAGCCATGGGGCTATTGGGGAGGAGAACTGGCCGTTATGGGAGAGTGTCAGGTGTGAAGGGCTTGCGATGAGGAGCTCTAAGGAATTGAGAGTTTTAGGGCTGACTGCTGATGTTGGCAGCAGGAGAGAAGTGAACTAGTTGAGAGAGGGTGTAGGGGCTCCAGAGGGAAAGACCTTTCCTCTTATTTCAGAGAAAGGTATTGAAGGTCTGTTTCCAAGTGCAGGCAGGTAAAGCCGCCCGTCCAAGCCTTTGGGATTGGGATGCCCCCTTCCGAACTTCTGAGGCGCTTGTCGTTTCATAATCCTCCCTACCTGTTTTCTGATGTTTACAGTTTTAGGCATTTTACTCCTTGAGGCAAAAACATGCTTTGAAATTTCTTCTCTGCCCCTGTGTGGCGCCTATCAAAGTGTCTTTGTGAGTTATAAGTACTCCATAAATGCTGTTTGCTTGAGTACATAATTTTATCCTGCATTAATTAAAAAAAAAAAAAGTCTTGCCTGGCCCGGTGGCTCATGCCTGTAATACCAGCACTTTGGGAGGCTGAGGCGGGCGGATCACAAGGTCAAGAGATCAAGACCATCCTGGCCAACATGGTGAAACCCCATCTCTACTAAAAATTAGCTGCGCGTGATGCTGCACACCTGAAGTCCCAGCTGCTCTGGAGGCTGAGGCAGGAGAATCACTTGAACCCAGGAGGTGGAGGTTGCAGTGAGCCGAGATCGCAGCCCCTGTACTCCAGCCTGGCGACAGAGCGAGACTCCGTCTCAAAAAAATCTTGCTTTTAGAGTCAGAATTAGTCAGAAGACTGCTTGATGAATTACCTCCACATAAAGATAATGCCCAATAAAAGCGTAAGAGCCCTATTTAAATATTTTTCTCCGCGTTGAGCATCAGGTGTATGCTCACTCTGTCTGCTCTCGTCACTGCCTCTCTTCCTCCTTGGGAGAGCTGGGTTAGAAAACTTTCTCCTGGATGTTCTCTCAGATTTAGAGCCTTCTCTTTTCTGGACCAGCATTGTTCCATAGGATGAGAATGTCCTAACATAGTGCAACCGAGGAGCTGAATTTTAAACCTTTGCTAATTTTAATGAATTAAAAAATTTGAAGACACGTGGCTAGTGTCTACTGTATTGGACAGTGTAGTTCTGGACCCTGGCTTAGTTTAGTCCCTCTCAGTTGTCCAGAGGCTCCTAGTAGCCCAGAAGGCCCCATATTAGTCAGCTTAGGATGCTACAGAAAAGTACCACAGCCTGAGTAGTTTAAAGCAACAGAAATTTGTTTTCTTACAGTTCTGGAGACTAGAAGTCCAAGGTGCTGGCAGGTGTGGTCTCTTCTGAGGCCTCTTGTGGTTTGTAGATGGCCTTCTTCTTACTGTGTTCTTACTTGGCCTTTCCTCTGCACAGGCATCCCTGGTGTGCCTCGGTGTGACTAAATTGGATTATGGCCCTCCCTAATAGCCTAGCCTCATTTTAACTCAGTCACCCCTTTCAGGGCCCTGTCTCCAAATTATAGTCATATTCTGAGATTGGAGGTTAGGACTTCAAAGTACACATTTGGGGATGGGGGGTACAATTCAGCCCATAAAAGCCCTAGAAGACCAAATATTTCTTCTTTTTTTTTTTTAGACGGAGTTTTCGCTCTGTCGCTCAGGATGGAGTGCAGTGGCACGATCTTGGCACACTGCAAGCTCTGCCTCCTGGGTTCATGCCATTCTGCTGCCTCAGCCTCCGAGTGACTGGGACTACAGGCGCCTGCCACCACACATGGCTACTTTTTTGTATTTTTTAGTAGAGACAGGGTTTCACCATCTTAGCCAGGATGGTCTTGATCTCCTGACCTCGAGATCCGCCTGCCTTGGCCTCCCAAAGTGTCGGGATTACAGGCGTGAGCCACCGCGACCGGCCAAATATTTCATCTAAAATATATATGTTCAGGACAGATACGGTGGCTCATGACTGTAATCCTGACACTTAGGGAGGCTGAGCTGGGAGGATTGCTTGAGCCCAGGAATTGGAGACCAGCCTGGGCAACAAAGTGAGAACGCATCTCTGTTAAAAAAAAAAAAGAATTCCACCTAGAATTCTGGTTAGAAATGAAGGAAGAAGAGAGTGTTCACAGTCCCAACCAAAAGTGTGTCTGTCAAGTCACAAGTCTGTACTGGCCTCTGTCAAGAAGCTGGGCGTGGAGAATTAAGGTAAATATAGGTTACCAAAGGGTTAGCCTAGGCTTAAACATGGAAATCTGGTGGTGGAGGAGAGGAATGATAGTTGCTAGTAGAAGGTTGGTCGTCCTTTTGTCATACAGCTGGTTCAATATAAAGTATATGTGGATGCTTTATGGCCATGCTGTCTGTCCACGCTCAATGATTTGATAAGGTGGATGATGGTAGTGGTAAACACAGAGTTCTCATTAAGAACTTCTGGAATGCCAGGCTTATAAAAGGATGCACATGCTCATTTCCATGGAACAGACCCCTTTCCATCCCGTCTGAAGGCAGCCGGTTCACAGTGTAGGCCTTTGCCACCAACCCACTCATTTGCATTGGAGCCTTCCTTTTGTATATAACTGGGTGGCCAGCGTCGGGGGGGCATGCCTTCTGTCCCTGCATTCAGGTCCACAAAATGAGCTCTACCTGGGTTAACTACCCATACCCTGCCTGCCTTCAGCCGGGCCTGTGCATTTGGAAAGTTCTGCTTACAAGAAGGACAGGGTCTATGCAGTGGTCACACCTCAGCCTCTCCAGCCTGCAGGCCTGACAGAATTTTGGCAGCACTTCCTAGCCCAGTGCAGACCATGTCCAAGTGAAGGAGAGGCAGCTGCAGACATCAGCATGGGGCTGCAGCACCAGCCACAGCCATGGCTGGGACTTGCTGGCCTCTGGTCTGGAGCCCTTTGCCTTGTTTTCTGGCCTGTTCCAGAGGAATACCAGTGTGGTATTTACAGTTGGGGATGGACAGGCATTTTCTGTGCCAGGTGCAAGCCCTTATACAACTGCAGTCATAGTTGAAGCCTTTCTCCAGGTGCCCTGGAGGTCCAGCCCTGCAGTTGGATGGAGTAATGTTGGGGTGTTTGCAGGCAGCGTCTGAAGTTGCTGGGCTTCTGGTACTGGGTGGCTCAGCCAGTCTCTGAAGTTACACATTGCGCCAGAGTGTGGCCAAGGTAAACCCTTAATTTTCTGCTTTCCAGCCCAGGATCCTGTCGTTAGGGATTTGGCAAATGTGGGAATGGGGTCCACTAACTACTTTAAGTACAGTTGACCCTTGAACAACTCCCCCCACCCTGCAAATCAGAATTCTTTGTATAACATTTGGCTCCCAAAAACTTAACTACTAATAGCCTACTGTTGACCGGAAGCCTTACTAATAACATAAATAAATATATTTTATATGTCATATGTATTATATACTGTATTTTTACAATAAGGTAAGCTAGAGAGAATATTAAGAACATCATAAAGAAGAGAAAAAATATATATGTGTGTGTATATATATATAAAATATACTATTCAGTGAGTAAAAGTAGATCATCATGAAAGTCTTCATCCTCGTCTTCATGCTGAGTAGGTAGAAGAGGAGAAGGAGGAAGAGAAGGCATTGGTCTTGCTGTCTTAGGGGTGGCAGAAAGAAAATTCTCACGTAAGTGAACCGGGCAGTTAAAACCCGTGTTGTTCAAGAATCAACTATATTTCTAAAACCTAAAGGACATTTCATTTTATCTTCAGTAAACTTGTGGAGGCTAATTAAGACATCAAGTATCCTTGTTTTTATCAAGAATTATATATTGTTGGTTATCTCAGGCCAATAGTAGCTAGCTCTGATGAACACTGGTTTTTTTTTTTTTTTTTTTTTGAGATGGAGTCTCGCTCTGTTGCCCAGGCTGG